GAGAAGAGGGGACAGCCATTCCCCTTCATGGCTTGAAGAGGAGAATGAACATTCATCCAGGAGCTACAGTCTGCAGGGAAAGAGGAGGACTGACCTGGAGTCAGTCAATGATTGCAGCAAGGAAGGGTAGAAGCTAGCAGAGTCTGATGACATGATAGTCAAAGTTTGGTGTTTTTAGTGAGGAGGGGAGGAGAATGATCTATAAGTGACAATGAGTATCAGATCCAGGAGAACATTTGTCTCACATCTTTGTACAAGGTACATGTTTTAACTCTTAATCCCCATGAACCTAGATCCCAGTATGATTCTCATTATTCAGGTGAGGTAAGGAGGCGAGAGAGTGAAAACTATAAATGGAGAAGCTAGAACAGAAGCCCAGGCAGTCTTGTGCCAGAGCCTGGACTGTTAACCACCATGCATATTGCCCCTTGAGAGAAGAAAAGGAAGCCATCCTGAACTAAGAAACAATTTCCATTGTCTATTAACCATACAAACGATGTCACCAATAGATATTCAAAGCTATAATGAACATAGAAATCACTAGCCCTGTGAGACCAGATGCCCAACATTACAGACTATGGGGATTGGTCAGAGTAGGACAGGCTATGCTGCAAAACTGACAGCCTCCAATCCCAGTGGCTTATCATGACAAAACCTTACTTTTTTGCCCATGCTGCATGATCATCACAGGTCAGCAGGTGCCTTGGCTCCATAGAGTCATTCAAGGACCCACTCTAATGGAGAATCCCCACTTTGTTGCTTAATCCTCTAGAACACATGATCTCCTCATACTCAAAGAACAAAGTACACTAGGTATTAAATGCTTTGGTTTAGAAACACACACATCATTCCAATTTACAGCCCGCATGCCAGCACTAATCACATGGCTCTTCCTAACTTCATGAGATCAAGACAGCAAGGGTAGGGACTGGGAAACATAGAGGAGCAAAGACAATATTTGATGAGCACTACTGTGTGAACCACAGGTACCTTTTACTAGAGGGGCTTGGATGACTTGTTTCACATATAGGTTAAAAAGTCCTTGGGAGTTTGTTTTGTTAGGAAATTTTATGGCTGTTTTTGTTTTGTTTTTGTCAGTCATAGTTCATTTGAGAGTTAGGTATCCCCACTATTTCTCTAGTTTACTCTTACCATTTCATTCAATCACACACTCATTTATTCAACAAGTATTTATTGAACACCTACTACGGGGCAAAAACCTCTGTCCTCATAGAGATGCTATCCCAATGGGAGTGAACAATTGACACAATAAACATGTGAGGCCTGGCAAGTGGTGAAAGAAACATAAAGGAGGGAGGGGATACGGAGTGCCAGGCCTGGGGGCTGCAGTTTTCCATAGGCAGTCAGGGAAAGCCTCAGTGTGAAGTGCCAGTTAGCAATGACCTGAAGGGATTAAGACAGCAAGCTGTGAACCTTTCTGAGGGAAGAAAGTGTTTTATAAGATTTAAAGATTCTTTTGATGGTGGGACACTCAGATAGATGAAAGGCAGAACTCTTTGTTACAGCACCAAATGAGAGAAGGCTGTCAGGCAGACCATACAGGGGCTTATAGCTGGGGACAGGGTAACAGCAAGCTAGAGCTTTAGGAGCAGCTACGTATGGCAAGCAGGGTGCAGTTAGCTAGGTTTTATGAGATCCTGTGGATTGGCTAATTTGAATAATTTCCTGGGTTCCAGAGCATAGGGGCTGCCCCTAGTTATCTGGTACCTGGCTGCAGGATGATTAGGGCAGGTGCATAGTGGCCCGGAGTGTCAAAGCATGATAAGGGAAGTAGTTGGAGTGCAGACTTAATAGGCTGGTCAAGAAAGGGAACTGACTGGCCTCTAGCCAAGGTCTCAAAACCGAATCAAGATAGCATTTTGGGGGAAAAGAAAACCCAACAACTATATTACAGAGGGTTCCAGAAAAAGGCCCGGAAGAAAGAGGGCGTGTGATATGTTACAGCAAAAGCAACGAGGCCAGTGAGACTGAAGTAGAGGGAGTGTAGGTGAGAGTGGGAGGAGGTGAGTTCAAGAGCTTCCCAGGGGCCATGATGTAGTGAGCCTTCTACAGCATTGTAAAGGCCTCATTTGACTCAGCAAATGAGTACAGCATTTAACTCATAGCCAGAGGGGAAGCCCCTGGAGTGTTTTGAGCAGATGAGTGACACAATCTGCCATAATGTTTTAAGAGAATCCCTTCCCTTAAGCTATTGTGAGGAGGGTGTGTTGAGGAGTAAAACAGAACCAGGGCCACCAGTCTGGATTCTCTTGCAATAATCCAGGAGAAAGGTGATGGTGACTTGGACAAGGCGGAGTGGTCATGGAGGGGGTAAGGGGTGGTCAGATTCTGAAGATATTCTGAAGATAGAGCTGACAGGATTCACTGATAGATCAGGTGATGGGGTGTGAGATAATGAGTCAAGGATGACCTTAAAGTTTTTGGTCTGAGCAACTGGAAAGATAGAATTGACAAAACTGAGATGGGGAAGATGTGGGAGGAACAGGTTTGGGGGACAAAATAGGTTTTGATTTGTTAAGTTTAAGATGTCTATCATACACTCAAGTGGAAACGCCAAGCTTGCAGTTGTATATGAGTCTGTTGCTCAGGTGGAATGGAGATATAAAGTTGGGAGAAGTCAGTGTACGTATTTGTGTATATAAATCCATGACACAGGGCGTAATCACCCAGAGAGTGAGAGGAAGTGTAGGTGGGTCTAAGGACTCTGCTTTGGGGATATTAGGAAAAACCAGCAAAGGAGACTGAAGGAGCTGTTAGGGAGTGGGAGGAAAACCAAGAGTGAGTAATGTTCTGGTGGCCAAGGAAGAGAAAATGAGCCACATGCCACTATTTGACATTATAAGTGTACCATTCTTTCTTCTTTTGCTTATGTCTTTGTCGTAGCATTGCTCATAAGAATGCCCCTAGCTCAGCCAAACTGATTCCCTAGGTGCACACCCCACTTTTTTACTTGAGTATTCATAGCTATAGAATCAGAATTCTCCCAGTGTAGAGTAGACTCTCCCATCCTTCATGTGGCCGATTCTCTTCTAGACTTGTTAACTATGGAGTCACAACCATTTTCTCAGAACATTTTCATTCAAAGATTTATTATATTCTAGGTATTGTGGAATAACTGGTGTGAATGTAATATAGCTTCTGTCCTCCAGGATAATATAATGTAAGGTAGGCAGTGATGAATCTCATAAGAGAGTTACAAAGGGGTTTGAGAGTTTATAAGAGGCAAAGATCACTTTCAATTGGAGGGAGTGGGGTAGCATCAGGGAAGGTTTATGGCAGAGGAAGGTAGGATGGCTTGACTATATAAAGTCACAAACTTTGTCATCTTTTCCCACTATTACTAATTCAAAGTTAAGTTAGTTACTTTTTTCTGATATTTCCATCACTTTCACATCCCCAAGGTCTCACTTCTATTAATGAATCTCCCTGAGCAAATCTCAGTTGATGTTAAACCTTATTCACGTAAACAATTTCAGTTTAATTGTCTTTGTCCCCTTTACTTTATGTATTATACATAGGCGGCTGAAGACTTCAGATGGATCTTGAGATGCTACTCCTATCTTGTCACTTGAAAATAACTGGACAGTATTTCTCCAAGTCACATATCTTGTTCACCATAGTATTTGGTTTTACCAATGATTATGTTTTTCTTCTTGAATCCCTTCAAAATTAAATTCTTTATCAGTTTGATGAATCTCCTGTAAAACACATTTTAAATGTCATTCCCAGATAAGCTTTCTGTCCTTTGCCAACAGATGTCCATCCTAGTATTATAAAGCATGTTCCAAAAATTTTATCAGCAAAGTCACAGCATCTTTCTGCTTCCTGTGTACTCCCTTTTCAGACAAAGATAACTATCAACTAGAATAAGAGATGAAAATACTACCTGTACCCCTGAGTTTTTAGTTTCCTACCTGACAATATGCAAGATTTATTGAGATAGGGAGAGACTGGAAGGAAGGAGACCAGCTAAGAGGCCATTAGATGATCAAAGCAATTAGAGATAACAATGCAGAAGGGACACTGCCGTGCACGGTCATATCTCCTGGTCCTCCAAGGCTGAGTTCTGAGATCATCTTATGTTGTTCCTCACTATCTTCAGCCCTTCTTTACAGCCTTTCCCATGGCTTTCTTTACCAGTTGCCCTCTGGCCTAGCCAGGTTCTCTGTTTCAGTCTATTTGGGCTGCTATAACAAAATACCATAGACTGGGTGGCTTATAAACAACAGAAATTTATTTCTTAAAGTTCTAGAGGCTGGAAGTCCAAGATCAGGCTGCAAGCTCGGTTGAGTTCTGGTAAAGGCCATCTTCTGAGTTGCAGACGGCTGACTTTGGCTGTGTCCTCATATGGTAGAAGGAGCAAGCTAGCTCTTTTGGGACTCTTTTATAAAGGCACTAATCCTACTCATGAGGGCTCTACCCTCATGACCTAATCACCTCCCAGAAGCCCTACCTCCTAATACCATCACTTTGGGGATTAGGTTTCTACATATGAATTTTGGGGGGATACAAACATTCAGACCATAACATTCTCCTTGTTGTTCATTTCTCATGCACCACTTGTGTTACCTGTTGTGTTGCCTGCCTGTCTACCTCTATTCTAATCCCCTCTTGAAATTACAGAGCTGACTCTGAGAATTGTTGACACCATGTGTGCCTCAGAGGCACTGTTTTCCATCACATGGCCCTGGCCCAACCCCCACTTTTGTATTTTCTTTCAGATTGGAGAACCAGACCTGAGACTAAGGAATCAACTCCCCAGCAGGACATTTCTGAAGAAGACTCACTCCAGGGAACTGACAAGGAATGGACCCTGGGACTCTATGTTGTGTGAGACTTGGGGATGTGAGAGCCACTTAGAGAGACATTCAGGACAAGTAGCAATATTGCACAAGAGAAACTCCAGAGAGAGTGCTGCCTATGAATGCAGTGCTTTTAAGGGAAGCTTCAGTCTGCAGTCAATCCTTGTTTCACAACAGGGAATTCTACAGGAGAGAATCTCTTTACATGTGACACACACGTAGGGAACCTGGTGTCAAATTTAGACCTGATTACTCAGCAGCGCTTCTGTGAGGAAAAGAAATCTTGGCAATGTAGTGAATGTGGGAAGTCCTTCTGTGACCATTCCATCTTCATTGGGCATCAGGGAATTCACACTGGAGAAAAACTCTTTATATGTAAAGACTGTGGGAAAGCCTTCAGCCAGAGCTCATCCCTTCCAAAGCATCAGAGATCTCACACAGGAGAGAAACCCTTTAAATGTAGTGAGTGTAAGAAAGCTTTCACCAGAGCTCATCACTCATTGACCACCAGAGAATCCACACAGGGGAGAAGCTCTATCAATGCAGTGAGTGCGGGAAGGCCTTCAACAAGAGCATGAACCTGACCCAGCATGCATGCATCCATGCTGGGGAAAAACCCTATGAGTGCCATGAGTGTGGAAAGGCCTTCAGCCACAGCACACACCTGACCCACCATTGCAGGATCCACACTAGAAAGAGACCTTATGAGTGCCATGAGTGTGGGAAGGCCTTTAAAGATGCCTCCTCCCTCACTTGTCACATATTGATTCACACAGGAGAGAAGCCCTATAAATGTCCTGACTGTGGGAAAGGCTTCAACGGCCTTTCAGGGCTTGTTCAGCATAAGAAAATTCATGCCGGAGAGAAACCTTATGCATGCCAAGAGTGTGTGAAAGCCTTCAGCCAGAGCTCATCTCTGATAAAACACCTGAGATTTCATACAGGAGAGAAACCCTTTAAATGTAGCAAGTGTGAGAAAGCCTTCAGCCAGAGCTCATCTCTCATTTACCATCAGGCAGCTCGTACTGGAGAGAAGCCCTTCCGATGTGGAAAAGCCTTCAGCCGTGGCATACACCTGACTGAACACCTTCAAATTCACACTGGAGAGAAGCTGTATGAGTGCAATGAATGTGGGAAAGCATTTACTCGGAGCTCATTTCTTATTGACCACCAGCGGATCCACACTGGAGAGAAACCCTATGAATGCAACATCTGTGGGAAGGCCTTCATCAAGAGGTCCTCCCTCACCAAGCACCTGAGGACTCACTGTGGAGAGAAGCCGTATAGCTGTCCATATCGCTGAGTGTGGGAAGGCCTCCAGCAAGCGCTCATCTCTTAACCAGAACCTGAAGACTCACACAGGAGGAGAAGCCCTATGAGTGTGGTGAGTGCAGGAAGGCTTTCAACAAGAGCACACACCTGACCCAGAACACATGCATCCACACTGGGGAGAAGCCTTATGAGTGCTGTGAGTGTGAGAAGACCTTCAGCCACAACACACACTTGACCCAGCATCGCAGGATTCACACTGGAGAGAGACTCTATAAATGCAATGAATGTGGGAAGGCCTTTGCTGATACCTCGTCCCTTTCTAGACACCTCTTTGTTCACACTGAAGAGAAACCCTATAGATGTAATGAATGTGGAAAAGGCTTTAGTGGCCCCTCAGTGGCCTTTAGTGGCTTATTCAGCATCAAAGGACACACATGGAAGGGGAAGCCCTATGAATGCACAGAATGTGGAAAATCCTTTTGCAGAAGTGCACACCTTAGTGAACATCAGGGAATTCACACTGGAGAGAAACCCCACAAATGTAAAGAATGTGGGAAAGCCTTCAGCCAGAGCTCACACCTCACAAAACATCTGAGAACACACACTGGAGAGAAACCCTATAAATGTAAGGAATGTGAGAAAGCCTTCAGCCAGAGTGCATCCCTTATGCATCATCAGAAAATTCATACTAGAGAAAAGTCCTATGTATATTATAATTCCTTCACTGAATCCTCAGCCTTTATTCAGCACCAGAGTATTCACACTGGAGAGAGAGACTATGAATAAATGGAAATGCTCAATGGAGCCATTGGATGTGGGGATTGCTGCAGATTAACCTTTAACATCCCTTCCCACCCTGAGATGTGGTTGTAGGAAATGTTGGGGTCCTTCTCTTTGCCTATGATTGTGTTGGGTACTGTGTGGGTAAGACACCATTGGAAATATCTCTCTCTCCTCTGTAAATTAGAGTGGATTGAATGTTAATTTCTTGTTGGAGCTTTGAAATCAAAGATGGGTTTAAATGTAAATGTTGAGTATTAAATTATTGTTTGAACCTTTATATAAAAAGCAGTTGGTAGTTTTCAGGGCATGATGGTCTTATATGTTATTATGTGTTTGTACTTCTGAGTCCCTAGAAAAGTCCCACAATGACTGCCACTTGAGGATTGAGGATGTCTAGGCTGGGACAGATGGAGTCATGCTGACAGTGGGTAGAGTTGTGCAATGTGAAAAAGGTCAGTAAGGAACACTGAGAATTCTGGAACGAGAGAGAAAAAGAGGGAGAAGGAGAGAGAGCTATGGGGTTGGAAGGTTATTTGGGGTCATCCAGTCTAAGACTTTTCAAATGTTATGAAGTTACATACTGTTTACATATATATTTTTTAGTACATGGAAACTTGGTCACATGGTAAAGTTTCAAATCAGTCAATATTAGGGTGGCAAATTAGGGGTTGGGGGTTGTAATACAAGTTGTTGCTCTTGTCTTTCTTCCTTATCTAAATAATAGTCAAATAGGTGTACCAACTTTTTCTTGTATTCCAGATTTATTCTTATCAAGTTAAATACATACAAGTCAAATTCCACATGTATTCTTTTGAAAATACCTTTTGAGTAAATTATTCTGTGAATCCCTCACACAAGTCAGGTCCCTCTTTTACTTGATGTCCAAGGCAGTCAGTCTTGTCTATATCCCAATGTCAATTTAACACTTTATCAGTTGTGGTTCTGCTTTTCATTCTGACTTTGTGTTTCCCCTTGGCCTCCTGCTAGATTTCAGTTGTCAGAATCCAAGAGCTATACTTGAAGGACTTTACCAAAGAAGTACACGTGTTGAGCTGCAGGTCAGAGCTGGGAGAAAATGGAACTGACGCCAGTATTTAAGAACTTGCAAAGTCATTTTAATGTTAAGAGTGCCTAAATAGTGCTGAACAGCATAAAGGAGAACAAGAGCTTCCTCCATATTCAGACTCATCAGGTTTTGTAAGGAGTGACATAGTGCTCCTCAACAACCCTTGTGCTTCAGGGTTAGCTGGGGAGCCTTAATAAAAAATGCAGATCCCTGGGCCCACTCCAGTGCTGCCAAGTCAGAATCTCCAGGGCTGGGCTCACCCATAGAAGTGTACTTTGAAAAATCTCCCAGGGCAATTCTGCTGCACAGACAGCACTGAGAAAGCCATGTCATAAGATACTGTGGCAATTCCTCATGCAGCCTTAAAAATCCTTGATGTAGGAAATAATGTGTACAATGTTCTCTCTTCTGCTTCTGAAGGAATTTCTCCCATAAATTTTCCTTCTGTTGTATCTAGCTCCTATCTTATTTCCATGAAGATAGATAAGGGGGGGGGCCGGTGGCATAGTGGTTAAGTTTGCTCGTTCTGCTTCGGCGGCCCGGGGTTCACGGGTTCAGATCCTGGGTGCAGAACTATACACCGCTCATTAAGCCATGCTGTGGAGGCATCCCACATACAAAATAGAGGAAGATTGGCACAGATGTTAGCTCAGGGCCACTCTTCCTCACCAAAAAGAAAGAGGGGGGGACACAAATTAACATTTCTATGCCTCTTAGACTGTCAGCCCCATATTTCCCTACTTTCATTCAGAGGAAAGTATTTTCTGTATTTTCTACTTTTCTCTATGTGCAGTAGATGTGGTAGATGTCCAAACAACATCTGTTCTCTCACCTTCCTCAGAGAACTCCAATTTTGCCCAAGTATCCACCCTTTTCCACAAGGCTAGTGGGTTTCAGGGGAATGTGGGATCATCTCCAGCTCTAGAAGGTAGGTCCCCATTCTTATGATGTGAGACATGCAGGGGGTGTTGAGGGAAGGGTTCCTGTTCCTCCTTCATTGGTTGGACATTGTCATGTCTATCTGTTAAAAAGGACCACAGCAATCATCTTGTCACCATAAAGGAAACAGGTCAAGGACAAAGGTTGCTCATTGAGGGTTGCGTAACAGAAGGATGGAAGGAACTTGGCCACTGATGGCCTCAAGGGTACGATGCATTAACAATCCCAGAGCTCCCACCTCAGGACCTCTGGAGACATGAGATAACAGACCTTCCATATGGCTGGGACCACCTGGAAGTGGGCTTTCAGTTACTTGCAGTGGAAATTCAGAGCATGCCAATCTCTCTTCCAATCCCTCTCCTCCATCTAATCTTCAACTGGCACTATCACTTTTGCCATTCAACCTGAGATTACATGATCAGCTCAACAGAGTTTATGGAAGTGCCCCAGCAACCACGGTTTTGCTTCAAATTCCCGTGGGAGGAGCTGACCATTGCAACAAGGCCTCCTTGGACTCTGGGGTCAGATAAGGAGGAGAACACGTATCTCCTGGACCTGCTGTGACCACCTTGGAAACATCAGCCACCACCTTCCAAATCCATTTTATGCCCTAACTTGGTAGAGGAGCCTCAGGACCAAATATATGTGTAGATGTTTGGGGGATTGAGATGGGTACTCTGTACTCCTAATATGAACCCCAGAACCTACTGCTCTCCTTCCTCGTGGGACTCCTGATGAAAGGGCTGATGGTTTACCTACCAAGTCTGCTGTCCCCAGAGCTTCAACCAGTTACTCCAAGCTTGTAGAGCCTCCCACTTGCCCCTGCCAGCACATGGATTCTGGGACTAATCCTGTATCTGGTCTGGGAAAGGATAGGGAGCCTGGTCAGCCTGGGCCTGTTCATTCCACTTCTAGGAATAACAATAATACCAGCTACTCTTTTATTAAGCATGTCTGTGTGTCAGGCACTGTGCCAAACATACGGAATATTTTCTCATTTGTTTCTCCTAACACCTCTATCTCAGAACGTACCATTATTTCCATTTCATAGATGAGGAAACTGGGGTTTAGAGGGGTGTCATAAGTTGCCAAGGTCACATGGCTAATAAGTGATAGAACTTGGATTCAAGCCCAAGTTGGACAGAACCCAGGCTCTGGAGTCTTGACTTGTTTCTGGAGACCTGGTCCCCACCCTATTCTGGCCAGCTCCAGTGATAGACCCTGTCTCAGTGCCTGGTGAGTCTGGATCCTCTATGCTGAGCCTAGCATCTCCTCCCAGTCCTTGCTAGCACTGGAAATCCATCAGCAACACTCAAGCGTCCAGACCACAGTTTGTTCCCATCAGCCAGGCTGTCCAGTTACCAGTTGTATGAGTTTCTTATGACAGCCATAACAAATTACCACAAACTGAGTGGCTTAAACAATGCAAAGTTATTGTCTTACAGTTCTGGAGGTCAGGAGTCTGAAATGGGTCTCACTGGGCTAAAATCAAGGTGTTGACCAGGCTGTGTTCTTTCTGGAGGCTCTAGTGGAGGATCCATTCCCTTGCCTTTTCTAGCTTCTAGAGTCCACCTGCACTCCTTGGTTTGTGGCCCCTTCCTTCATCTTCATCAGCATAGCATCTTCTAATCTCTCTCTTACTCTGCTTCCATCATCACAGCTCCTACTCTGACTCTGACGTCTGCCTCTCTCTTATAAGGACCCTTGTGGTTACATCAGGCCCACCTGGATAATCCAGGATGTCATCTCAAGGTCCTTAACTTAATTATATCAGCAAAATCCCTTTTACCATGTAAGGTAACATATTTACAGTTTCCAGGGTTTAAGACATGGACATCTTGGAGGGAGGGAGCATTATTCTGTCTACTACATCACTGAGCCTTGCCAGTACTTATCCACTACTTAGGCCACCTCACTCTCATATGGTGCTGACAGCCCCTTTATCCCTCCCTCTATGATGTAGACTCTGACCCAGTAGATAGGTCTTTTTCAAGTCAGTTCTCTGACACTGCAAGTTAGAATGGGCAGCCTGGGCAGTTCACCGCCCCCCCCACACACACACACAAAGGGAAAGAAAACACAGGTTCTCGATAAATGGTTAACAGCAGGTATAAGACTTATACCAAATGATCTCTCACCCCTCCCACTGTCATAGTGCACAACTTGGCCAGTTCCTGAGGTGCAGTAAGGTGGTGATGGGGCATCCTTGGCTTCCATGTTCTCAGGACTTGGTAGGGGTGGTG